TACTCACCAATAATTTGTAATTGTTCATAAATATAATTAATTGGATCCTGTGGTGAATCTAATATGTATAAATATATTGTTAAATAAATATTTAAATTTTTAATATAATAAAGTAAGGAAATATAATAAAGAGGAATTTAATTTTGTTGAATAAAAACACCCAACATATAAGATTTTCAACGGTAATCAGTGCTCCTGAAAAAAAAGAAAACATATAAATTAAGCTTCGTTTTTTATTTCAGATTACACATCTATATAATACTTTTATTTTAATTGCCAATAGAATGTATTTGACATTTAATTTATAGGACATGGAAATAGATTTCAAAAAACATATTATATCATTGTACGAAAAGAAAATATTATTTAGATGTAAAGCATATGAAAAACATATAACAAAAAGTTCGTGAATTATTTCCTAACATTAATATTTTAATCAATAATGGAAAAAAAATATTTTTAAAATCACCGACTAGAATTTCAATTTTCAAAGATGAAATGGAAAGTATACCTTTACCTCCGGCCACAGTAATAACAAGGTGGGGTACATGGATAGCTGCTGCTTTATATTACGCGAAATATTTTATAAAATACCAAAAGGTAATTGAAAAGCTCGCAGAAGACGATGCACAATGCGTTAAAAAAGTACTCGATATTATTAAAGATAGATCGACTGTGAATGAATTAACATTTATATCAACTCATTTGTCATTTTTAGTTGAAATAATTAAAAAACTTGAAACTCAAAATATGCTTTTATCTGAGAGTTTTTGTTTGATAAGTGAATTAGAAGAAAAAATAAACATTATTCCTGGACCAAAAGGGGCAACATTATAAACAAAATTAAATGATATTTTTTCCAAAAACAAAGGCCTAACAGTATTACGTAACATTAATAAAGTATTAATAGGGGAAGCGGAAGTGGTTCAACTAGATCAAAACTATAAAGATCCAATGAATTAAGCTCTTTTAAATTTGCTCCAATAACTTCGGTAGATGTTGAACGCTCATTTTCAATATACAAGCATTTATTAACAGATAGACGGCACAGTTTTACCGAAGAAAAACTTGAATATCATTTAATAATTAATTTTAACAATAAAGAATAAAAACACACATTTTGAGTTGTATATTTTGTTTTTTTTTTTTTAAATAGAAATAATTATGTATTTATTCGTATGTGTTTAAATTTAATTATTTGTATTTTTTCCTGCTTAACATAATATTTAATTTTTTAATATAATTTTTTTTATTGCATATTTTAATGATTTTTACTGCATATTATATGGCATAATTTGATACTTTTTAGTGCATATTAGCCCGGGCTCTACTAATAACAGAGAGATAAATAAAAATACAATTAGAAAGACATATAAAAAAAAAAAATGACAAAAAGAGAATATATCTATAAAAACAAAAATTTTAAATTAATTAATCAAACTATGTTGTATTCTGCCAATAATTTATTTTTAAATTTATAATTAAATCATAAATAAATTTGAAAGGTTCATAAATGTACAATATAATTTTAAAAAGCTACATAACAGCTAAATAATACAAGTATTCTGGTATAAACGTGAACATTTATAGCCGCCTTTTTGTTGGGGTGTCTACCAGGTCAGTCGCCTTCCTCGACGTTACTGCACATAGGATATGAATCATAACGCAGAACCTACACACGATTACGAAAATCTAATATAGTAAAATGTAATATAAAAAATAATATAGTCGTTGTATTTTTGTGGGTGTCTAGCAGGTCAGTCACCTCGAATGACGTTCGCCGTAGTAATAGTATTTGGGGTCTAGCAAATCAGTCACGTTCCTCGACTTTGGTCGTAGTCACCCTGGAAGGCAACCTGACAATATTCGATGGCTCATCACGTATGCAATCTGACTGCGTCGAATCGCGGACGACGTTCATTACTGTTACCGAAAACGCAAAATTAAAGAATAAATTACGTGAAGAAAATTCAAAATATTTCGGGCGTCCATGCAAATCATATAGCCACCGTCTGATTTTTTGGTGACTAGCAGGTCACCCATCTATGTTATCCGGGTAGGCAATGTGCGGCCTGGACAGCGTCCATTACAGTCACTAAATCAATTAAGTAATGAAAATTCAAAAAATGTCGTAAGCAATACGACTACCGAGTCACCTTCCTCGACGTAATTACTCGAAAATAAGTTTTGGGGTCTAGCAAAGGATCTAGGGTCTAGCGTCGGATAGCGGACAACGTATGACTTCTGACGCAAAATTAAGTAATAGATCACGTGCAAAAAAATGGTATATGTCTTGGTGTCTAGCAGGTCCTCGACGTTGGACGTAGTAACCCTGGTAGGCAACCTGACTTCGTCGGATAGTGCGACGTCCGGGTCAAGGCATGACAATGCCAAATTACGTAAATCAAATGTATATAAATAATAACATTTCGGGCGCCCGTGCTAGTCGTAATATATTCGCCGTGATTTGTTGAGTGTATAAATTCGAGTGATGGTCCTAAGGCATTATTATGACCATATGAAAAATTTTTGCAAAAATGAAATAAGAACGATGGCCAAAAGTGTAAGGTTTAATGCCGTGTTCGAGTGAATAATATAAAACTATAAAATATCGATTTAATAATTTGTCAATACAATAAATTAATTAATCGGCCGTGCGATATCGTTACCCGCATGGGTTACCTGCCTTGACTCTTGTTATTGTCGCCGTTCTAAGACCAAGGACTGCGCCGACGTCCGATTTTAAAATCTTTTCATTCAAAGTGTCCGAAACAGAAACACTTGAGTATACAATGTAATATTACTGTTATAAATATTATATTATTAATTTAATTGGTGCATTTTCTTAAACGTTTGCACCGCAGATCGTAGGTAATTTATCAATTAATATAATGTAACACATGCTTTCCGATTAACGAATTTAATATTGTATCATACCATCAACATATAATAATACCGACAGATCACTTAAAGTTTCGTTTTACTATACACTTTCTTTATTGCTTTTTATTTATCAACTTCAGAATGAGTAATAACGTATAAAACATTAGCGGCGATTGCCAAGCGTAGGTACATGAGGGCCTTGTTTTTTAACAAGTTCAACGCAGATCGTATATATCAATTAATAAATTATTATAATAATATAAAAGTTTTACTTAATTAAGAACCAATACTCTTCAGTGGCACAAAGATACAAAACAAATATTGTCAATGTAAATATAATTAAATTTAATGAATTGCAATTTATATACACATCAGTAGAAATAATCTAATAATTGAATACAATAAAATCACAATTATTAGCACAATAGAAATCAACTGAAATACAACTATTAAATGGTGTTTAACAAAAAAACATACCCTTATACTGAACAAAACAATTACTACAATGTAAATTATATAAATATTGTAATAATTACATTCATATCATTTTCCATTTTTTCATAAATTTTTTTCAGATACTGTTTGGTGGAAGAGTAATTGAGATACCGTTTACTGCGTTGCTACCAATCCATACACATCCATATAATGTACAACGCGATCATTGGAAATCCAGGTCCAACAATTCTTATTTCACGCCTCATGATGAAACGCTACAACAAATGGACCAAGTTTTTATTGATAATAATTATCCATTGACCCCATTCTCGCTTATTGAACTTCCGCCCCGACGTAGACGAACACCGATGGACGATTTCCAATCATATTCCCCGCCTAGAAGGGTGAGGACATGCCATCGACATAGCGTTATAGACCTATTTCTACAAAAGATCTACGGCCTTTCGAAACGCAGTATCCAAATGGAGTCTTTCGTCCAATACGGCCGATACATGCGAAAGAACGAATATCATATCTTAAGTCAAAAATCAGGAAATATGAGGAGCGTCTTAAAGACTATTTAAATAATCAAAATAAAAATATTTAAAAATAAAAATATTGTCCTCCTTTTTAATGCATTATAAACCTATAAATATCTACCGTCATCAAAAGTACATTTTAGCCCCGTAATCCTCGGTCGAGTTTTGAGTACAGTGCAAATTGCGTTCGCCCAGCACTTATAATATGAAATAAAATTACTTAAAAGCCAAATTTGGTAGTAACGTTTTGAAAACAATATCCCTCGACTCTACATGACTTACTCTATACCCCCAAATAGTTTTAAGTCCCCAGGTAAATTACCAACAACAAGAATTACAGATAAAGATATGCTACAATATTTTTGTTTATTAACCCCTTATGCCTTTGATTTTGTAAAAAAAAACAGTTTGAAATCAAATCAAAAACATTTTCTTCTACAACTGTAAATATTTGTGGGTGTCGATTTAATGTAGCACTGACTTTACCATGCAGTCATATTTTCTATTTAAGAAGTATGAAAAATATAACACTATACAAAGAAGAATTGTGTGCAATTCGCTGGACAAAAAAATACTACCAACAGCACCAAAGAGTATTTCAAAGTCCTCCAACGTTACCAGAAATACCAAACATAACTAATGAAGTTAATTTAAATATTGTGACCAAAAATTCAAAAAATTGTCATCTAATGACAAATTTAGGCGTACATCCACCATAGGTAGTAAAATTGCCAATTTACTTTCAACCTTGCCTTCTCCTCACTATGAAAGTAAAATTGAGCAACTTAATTTTATATATAATTCATGGAAAGAAGGGAAGGAATTATTTATAGAAGCTATTGATGGTCCTGGCAGTTTAGATATTCAAGATCTTCAATCAGGCAGTTCAGAGACCTTACAAGCTCCCAAAGATGATGGTCCACCCTTGAACGATGGTGCTTCAACAAGTCGTTCTAATTCTGATGGTAAATAAAAATATTTACTAATATTTATATATTTATCTAATAGGTTTACAAGACATAAAATTGCCTTGTAAAATAAAAATGTGTGGTCGTCCTAAAGGAGCAACATTGACTACGATTGGGCTCAAAAAAAGAAAGAAAGGGTGTCCATATGCTACATGACACTAAAAAGCAGGAAATTATGCTTAAATGGCTCATAAATGATACCGAAGTAGTTAAGAAAGCATTGCATCATAGTTTTTTAATAAATGAGAGCGAGATCCTAGAGTTAGATAGAATTCAAACTTCTATCTTAGAAGAAGATTCAACAATTACGTTTAATTCAACCATTTTTTTTAAACAAAGGATGGAAGTTTTTGGAAAAAGCTGTCAAAATGAAGAGAAAAGGGGAAATATGGATATGTCCCAAGTGCAACCTAGACATTGGTTCCAAAAACTCCATTTTATGTGATAGTTGTCTACTTTGGTATCACACAAAATGTGAGATAAAACTTAAATCTAGGGACAAAAATTGTAATTGGTTTTGCTCGATGTGTTCAACTAAATAAATAAATTAAAATGGCTTGAACCATGTTACAACATCCATGCATTTTTAATATTATCAATAAATTAACCTATTTACGGTAAGTACGTCATATATAATAATAATAAGTACCTATCAGCCACAAAATATTATAATAATATTAATGAATAATAATTAATAAAATATTATAATAATATTATAGTAATCACAGGACGTAATGTACACGAATACGGGTAATTTTATTAAACGTACGGACGCTGTAGTTACATTATCTTATATTCCCGGACATGATAACAAAATAAATGATTTGTGCGCATGCGCAAAACCGAATGTCCGTGAACGCATTATATCCACGGTGTCCGTAGCTCTAACCACAGCGTATAATTTTACTGAATTATTGTATCTTTGCAATTCATCTAATGTAGTTATAAACCCATTATTGGAGAATATTAGATGATTTCACTTTGGTGACACTTCAAATTTATTGCCTGTTGAAGAAGTCTTTGTGGGTGCAGAATGTCAATCACAATTAGATTTATAGTCAGCTGATAGTATTAATGTATTTAAAAAAAAGTGCTAAACATTTGATATAACAGTAGGAGAAGAAAGGATAAAATTTGATAATTTGAATCGTCGCAAGACGTTAATTTTTGTAATAGTAAAATATTTTGCACAGTCACACGGTTTAAGTTTCAGTCGGAGACCAGTGGTGTACGCCCCACGAGAAGTATTTTCCTATGATGTCATCATAATTTCTCAAAGTAATATAGCTAATTGTGTGTTATCACAATGGGCTGTTAGCCAAATATTTGTTGGCATAATGTGATGAGATTCGGAATACAGTCAGTATTAATCGATATAAGTCATACAATTTATTCTACATTGAATATATTATTAAAAATACTGTCCACTCAAAATTATTTCCACGCCCTAGCAGGTGGTCTGTGTTCGGCGATCGGCGGTAGTATACTATAGCTGTAGTAATGTAGTATGCATCTGCCGCCGTGCATACGATCACCACTAGCGCTCCGATGACGCGGCGGCTTGCGCTGCTGCGACCAGTTTTCGTCGAGCGAGTGCCGAGTAGGTCAAATATAAAAATGTGGCTCGATCGTCCCCTTGTAGGGATGGGAAAAATGAATCGAATCATTTGATTCGACTCACTAAAATGAATCGCTTTTATGATTCGTTCATTTCGTTCAGTGACTCGCATTTGATTCGATAATTCAACCGAATTTAAATTCAATCACTGAATCACTGATTCGAAGTAGGCGATTCTCAAAAGTAGATCGATATACATCGAAATAACGATTTTTGTAATCACTAGATGCCGCGTGACATTCTACTATTCTAGCTCTCCCATGTGACGCTCCGATTTCATACGATTAATATATAAAGGTTTTCTATACCCATTAATGTCAGTGCGAGTACTCCCTACCTAGTCCCTCTTGATTTTGGACGTTGGACCGACTGGACCGAGTATACACTGGAAAGTGTTGTAGCCTGTAGGCCTCTATATAGACATATAGTAGTGCCTACATCAATCACAACGGAACTCACCACTTCAATGGACAGTGCCTAATTGGTCACAGGGGGGGGGGGATGATACGCCTTAATTGTTTAAAGTATTTTTAGTACGTAAATAAAAATACATACATTTTATGCAATAATTACAAATTGAATTATGTAAAAAAAAAAGAAAATGAGTGATTTAAGCGCAGTGAATACAGTAGGTATATCATATATTATATTATTATAATGTAGGTATGTTTTTACCTTCTAATATATAACAAAAATATTTAAACAAAATTAAGAAATGAATACATAATCATTTGAAATCCAATTTGAATTTCAAAGAATCACGAACTAAAATTGAATTAATGAATAGATTATATATAATAATATATAATAAATAATAAAATAAAATAAATCATTTATTATTTTTGATATAAAATAATGAATTATATACTAACACTTTTTTAAACTATTTCTATATATTATTATAATATAATAATATATTAATTATTACACATATGTAATAGGTGTTAAAAATACATAGTAAGAATAACGAAATCATTTTTAATTTGCTTTTTTATACTGAGTGATGCTGTGTTTGATTAGATCATTGGGATTTTTACCCTAAATTATTTGTGCATATCGCACAGATAAGTAACTTTGGTCCACCTAGTTATCTGTAATGTTAAATATTTATTTTCAACTTTGCATATTTTTGCATATTTTGCTATAAATGCATATTCGTTGCATATTTCAATGAATGCGCGCAACAAAGCAAACCGTTTCGAAATTTCTTATCAAAATATACCAATCAATCTATTGTAATGGGATTACGCAATTCATGTACAACGCTCACAATAACAAGTACTACTTATGTAGAAAGCGGCCTCGTCGACCGCACCCAAACGTGGTCATAGCTAGAATAGACGCTTCGGATCACAACAACTTCCCAAGGGCGCCTACATGCCACGCGCCGCTCAATTCAAAGGGCGTCGCCTTCGTATATTCGTATATATAGAGGCTAGGGCCTCAATACAAATTAGATGTATCCAGAGACGAGAACAACACACGACTCGCTTAGCCGCCCAGGGGGTCAATTCTCGAACGGCGCTATCTACTAGTCGTATACGACATTAAGGAATTGTCGAGCGAGATTTTAAATAGTCTATTCTTGAATTTCGCACGACTTAAAGGCGCATGAAAAGTTATGCGACTTTAAAAAGTGTGGGTCTAACCACTCGCCAAGAGTTGTCGTATACGATGTCGTGCATCGATTGTATTTTTAATTATGATAACGGCTAATCCGATATTGTACGACGTACGTAATGGTTATAAATTATAATACCTATTACCTAACTCAATTTTACTAAATCGAACTATTCATTTTTTATTAAAATTAATTACATATTTTACTTTATTAACTATGGCGAATGACGACGAAATGGCTTATTTATTCGCAATCCAAAATCAGCAAAATCAAATTAATTTTCAACCTAGACCAAGAACTGTTAATAATAATATCATTAACTCATTTGAACTTACAGATTCGGCATTTATTAAAAACTATAGACTTACAAAAAATTTAGCTAATACATTAATTCAAGAACTTAGTCCTTTTCTTAAGTCACCGAAAAGATCTTCAGATTTAGATGTATCAACAAAGGCAAGTTCGAGTTGTTAACAATTTAGGAACGGTACCTAGTAGTTTAGTGTAATATTAGATTAGGTATTAAGGTAGATTACTTATTAGGTAAATAATTATATTAAAGCAATTATTAAGAGGAAGAAGAATCGAGTTTTGTTCATTTTTAGTTTAATAGTTAACTATCTATTACCAAAATTAAAAAGTTTTAAATCTCTTGGTTTAAAATCTTGGCACTTATTTGCAATGGCACTATAGCACTAAATAATAGAGAGGGCTATTCTTGTCTATACCACTTCAATATTACCTATACCAAAGATGAAATATCTTTTTGGTAGGGATATGAGTAAGTTTGGTCTTCCTATAGTTTCACTTATGATTCTTTGTCGGGCAGTATTTTATATTGGGCTCAAAAAGACAATAAAATATGTGCTGGAATCCTCTTAATAATACTATTGAAAATTCATATTTCATAAATTAGTAGTTATATATTTTTTTCAGGTTTTAGTTGCCTTAAACTTTTTTGCCACTGGTAGCTACCAGACTCCAGTTGGTAATAGTAGATTTACCTCAGTTTCCCAAAGTTCTGTGTCTCGTTGCATTGAAGAAGTCACATCTGCATTAAATACTGATAATGTATTTGGGAAATGGGTAAAATTTCCTAGTAGTTTAAGAGAACTTAGAAAAGTTCGAAATGAGTAAGCTCTTTTATAAATTACATTTAAATAATCTTAATCATTTGATACAATTGTTTCTTCATAGCCAAAACAATGAAGCACATAGAATAGGGTTCAGTTATAAAATTAATTTCCTATTTTTATATTTTAAATTGGTCCATAAGTTTCTCATCTCATAATTTCTAAAAAATAGTAATATTTGTTTTTAAAAGCCATATGAGATATAATATAGAAAAATCAATTAATTTTGAACACCTCATTCTATGAAATTTGTATTGAGAATAATATGATTAATTTGTACAAGACCAAGTAGATATATTTATATACATTTCAGATTTTATGAGAATACAGGTATTCAGGGTTGTATTGGATGTATTGATTGTACTCATGTAGCGATTGTGCCACCAATTAAAGATCCTTTAAATGCTCATTCTGAATATATTTATGTTAACCGAAAAGGATACCACTCTATTAATGTGCAATTGGTTAAGTATACATTTAGAAAGTGAATAATTGTGTGTGATAATAATAAAGTGAATGTTTTTCCAAAGATATGTGATTCTAAACTTAGAATTTTGAATGTAAATGCTCTTTTCCCTGGATCAACGAATGATTCGTATATATGGAATAACTGTGATGTACTCCCAATATTGGAACAAATTTATCGGAATGGCCAACAAGGATATTTTTTATTAGGTATGTTTCGTTCAACTGCTTATTACTTAGTTTTGATTAGGATTCAGGTGTATCTTTTATTTGCTGAATATTGTGGTTTGAATTTAAAACTAAATATAAAAACATGTTGACGGAAATGACTGTCTTAAGCCGGACAGACACCAATGCAACATGCACCACTTTTTGCAATGTTTTGGAATGCGCTGGAACTTACAATAAAATTTATAATCAATGATACTAATCTGTAACAACTTTCATTCATTCATATAGCAATAATATAAATCATCCTGTTAAAACAATTGTTAATCTAAGGTGATTCTGGATATGCATTAAGACCATGGTTGCTAACACCTATTAATGACCCAGTAACTGATGTTGAGCAGTATTACAACAAAATACAAATGACAACGCGAAGTGCT